TTTGGAGGCTAATGTATCTGAAACTTTTCCTATAAGATAATATCTTCATAATTTTATTTAATTTATTTAATAAAATAAAAACAGGGTGGCCATCAAGTTTGCATGCAATTTAACATAGTGGGCAATTGCACATGAACGTTATGGCCACCCGCTATATTGAATGTATGAGAGTACAAAATATATCATTAAATTAATTGTACCAATTCTTTTCATTTGCACCGTAGTTATTAGAAAATTTAGAATTCCTGTGTGCCTCTAATTATATGCATATTGTACAATATTAATTTAGACCAATTCCATGAGGATCATAATACAGGTTTGAAAGATTTTATTTTTGCCTTTGCAGGAGAAAATTAATTTTCAGTAATTCCAAGGACATATCCAATTTTTTAAAAAGTTTTATATTTATTAATGGGTCACCATTGACACCTATATTTCTCCATAAGGAAATCATGGATTTGAAGTGGTTTGTCACCTCTGCTATTGCAATGTAAAATACAAGGATACTACGCAGATTATATTCTCTTGGAAATATTAAATATAAGCTGGGAAATGTTGTTCTTCCTCTCTTATTAATTGAATTGGTTCACTTTTCTCAAAAGCTTCAATGAGTGAGTCTTTCTCTAGCACCTTGGCTGGTTATTGCCCTCTCAGGGAGGGGTGCCCAACCTGCCGCCCAAGGGCCATATGCAGATTATTTGAGGACTGTTTTGTTTATCTGTGGTGTCATACATAGTGCATCTATTATGCACTGACTTTTTTTTTCTTATCAGATTTGGGTGTTTGTGTAAAAAAAAAAAAAAATATATATATATATATCTGGGCACCCCTGCTGGCTTAAAGCAAAGATGAAAAGCAGCAGAGAAACCCTCAGTTACTTTAACAGTCAATGCTTTAGCATCAACGACCAACTGAGCCAATCTTCACTTGCTTTATGCAGTTTTCTTTGCCAAACTCTAGTGGGACCTCATTGGTTTCTTCCCACAGGTTGGTTGCCATTCCATATCTACCAGGCAGGGCTTATTGACACTTATTTGCACCCTTGCCCTAAAGTACTGGCAGGGATAAGTGTTATAAATCAGAAGTCACATGAAAATTTTCACTTGAATTTTTCACTGGGGTAAAATTTTGGCTCCTAGGGATCATAGATGAATTGCACATTTGAAAGGGAAAGGTTGTTAAGAGATACCACATAAACCATATGACTATCATGTGCTTTGGGGGAAGTTATAAGCATACTATGTTTACTGGCTTTCAAATATATTATATTTATTTGTGCAACTTTTGTTGGCTTTTCCATTTTGTGTCTTAGATTGAAACTGGATTCATGATACCATAGGAAGCAAATAGAATATGGCTCTCATTATAAGGATCTATCTAGATCACAGGTCAAATCATGCATTTGAAAATTAATAACCAGGCCTATGTGAAAGCCTGATATAACTTACAAGGTAAATGTTAATCCTTTTTCTCACCACCATTGACATAAATGACTGCAACTTAATTTTGTAAGATGGTCATTGATTAAAACCAAATAAAAACAAATGAATTAGAAGAAATGAGAAGTTAAATTCAGTTATGCCATCTTAAAGTCGAGAACCACAAGGGTTATCTCTTCCTTTTACTTCAAAATATTCACTATGCTTAAAAGGATCTAAACTCCCTTTTTTTTTAAATAAGCTAGGATTTGTACACTCTGTTTTCTGTAGTCTCTATCTCTCTTACTATCTTACCAATCTTTTTCTGCATCAAAAATTCCCCACCTACATCATTTTACAGGACAGTGCTATCCAATAGAAATATAATGTTAACCATACATATCATTTTAAATTTTCTAATATTCACATTAAAAAAGAAAAAGACTATTATTTTGATGTAATAAACACAAAATTATTAGAGGATTTTATCTTTTTTATACTGAATCTTTGACATCGTATATGAATTTTACATGTACACAGTATCTCAACTGAGATTAACCATATTTAAAGTATAATCACAATTGTCTAGTTGCTAATGTGCACGCTGCACAGATCTGTGTTATAATTATTTGGTCAGAATGGGCCTTGACATGAATTTCACAATCATTTGTGCAGAACCTGCTCCATCTAGGTAAGCAAAATATCATGTAGATAATAGATTTAATTATATACTGAAGTAGTACAATTGCATCTAATATTAGTACTAGAGTTAGCAATTGGTTAGAGTAGATATTAGTTAGAAATTGACAACTGATAGTCCATGGGCTCCTTGGGGGGAGGTCTTCTTTCTCAGAATTAATATGTATTCATTATATAACTCATTTTTTCCTCAATATAGTCATAAAAATTATAAACTAGACGATAAATGATTATCTAGCTAAATAATAATAAAGATACCAGCATTTAAAGATGATGTCTTTAAGATGACCGAAAATACATGAGGTAGGTAATATGATAACATAGGAGATATAACAATAAATTCACAGTAAAGGAAATATAACAAAAAATTCACTTTATTATGTGAATGGCAATTTTTTTTCAAAAGGTTAGGCAATATTGTCTTTCTCTTTTGGAAGTAATGTATAGCTACTTTTATTATAGCATACAACCAGTAACATATAATCAAAATATATCCTAAACGTTTACTTTTGTAAACGTCTGAACTTTGCATGGACACTACCCAGGTGTTGAGAAAAATGCTTTTTTTTTTTGGTAAGTTTTTAATTGTTACGGGTAGATAACAAATTAAGGTCCATACCGGTAACGATTTGGAATGCTTCCCCAAACACCTAATGATATCTCTTATAATGTGTAATTCTGTATGCACAAAGATCTTCTTGTTGGAGTGAACCTCTGAAATGAAGTTTGTCTGTAATGCAGTGCAGTTTTGTTTTTATATAATACAATTTGGAATTTCCAAACATCCTGCCTAGAACCTTTACCAGGCTTTTAGTGATTAGTGATTCACTTTGCCATTCTAACCAGCTAGAAGTCGCTGATGATGATTGGTATAGTAAGCTGTTAGAGTAGGACTTAGGATACAGGAAAGAACAAAAAAATTGTTATGGATCATGTATTTGAATAGTAGCATTGCCTGGGTCCACCATCGTCAATCCAAAACTCACTTCCAAGCAAGTGTAGAGACAGGCTCAGATTTTCACTTCACCTTACCTTAAAGACAATCATATGCCAAATGTCTCCTCAGGTAAAGAGGAGAAAGAATATCTCTTGGTTTTATTTTCCTCATATCCTTTTCCATGGCAAAAGTTTACATTTATCTTTCCTATTTTCATAAACACAAATTAGTAGTACAAAGTGATACATCGGAACATTGAAAGATGTTTACAATAATCCTATTAAAGCCGAACACAATAAAAACACTATAAAGAACTTACAGTTGGACGCCATAATTAGGAAACTATTTTATTGACATATATATGAATTATCACAAATTTAGGAACATCAGCCCCAATCATCTTCTTCAAAGTTAATATATACTATGAATTATGAAACAATTACACAGATTACAGAGTAAGGAAACTATAGATTAAAGTTATTTTTAGGTCCTAAATCAGTTTAATCACAAGCATCTCACTTCTCATGCTAGTGTTTCCACTTCATTGATTTGAGTACATGAACCATAAAACCCCAGCACTATCAGCTTTAATGTGGTTTTCTCCTGCAGGGTTTACAACGAACTGAGATAAAATATTTTCCATCATTTTGGTGGTTTGTGGATGCTGTTAGTGAAAGGGTTACCCAGTGTGTTCGTAAAGCCACTACACATGGGACTGAACTTCTAGGCCACAACACCGGAATCTATGTTTTCTTTATTGATTGACAGCTCAAGGCTTCTTAACATTTCTATCTCGATGAAGCTAAAAGATTTACAGGTTAGAAAGGCAACAGGGATGCAAAAAAGAGATGAGGGGGATACAAATTTATAAACTTATCTCTAAATCTGTTGATAGTCATGTCTAGAGGAAATATTTTAATAAAATATGGGAGAAACGAAAGGAAAAAACTAATGTTAACTGGATACGGTTACACAGCAACACAACCACACAGCTATGGAAAGTCACGGGGGAACTATGGATTTAGCTTTGTGAAAAAAGTACCAGAGTCCAGAGTGTAACAGATTTATGAGCACTAAACGTGAACACAGCATTTTACACGTTGTGTTTACTAAGATAGAACATTAATCACACAATAGTAAGACATTAAGAAAACCGGCCTGCGATTTTAGAAAATACATTAATATTACAAAATGAGAAGTTTGAGCTTTGAAAATATTTTTTAAGTGATACTCTAAGGCAATTTAACAAAAAATTAAAATGATAAAAGTATTTCTGAGTAGTGTTAAGAAGGTAACATCTAACTTTATAAATGATAAGGGGAATATACATCTCAATGAAAAATTACAGAAAAAGTCCAATTCATTAAATTGATAATTACCTAAACTTATATTTCATGCCAATTTAAACTGAAAATATATTTTTATCATAACTCTAAGATGATTTAAAATTTAAAGAAGATGGTTTCATTATTTATGTTGAACTGTTTCACGTATGAATTTATCATCAGAGCATCCAATTATAATAATCTGGTAGGATAAAGATATTGACATATTAATTACTCGTTTAGTCTATCTTAAACAGTGTCAATAAAACATAGTTACATTCCTTTTATATGCATATTACTAAAAATTATTGTTGGTATCTAAAGCCATGTTAAATAGAGGTATTGCAAAATTTAAACTAAAGAAGAAACTGTCTATGCAGAATTCATTACATTATTTCACGAATTAATTTTCTGGAAGTTATTTTTCATGAACTGCAACACTCTGCAGATGGGAAATATGATAACTTCATTAGAAGATAAGATTATAAATTATGTATAATAAAACATATCAAATATAATACTCTAAAACTTTGTATCCAATTGGTAACCTAAGCAGGAAGCCATCATTCTTCTTGAAAACAAACTCTTGGCCATATTTTTTGAATGCTGAAGCTGGAAGGATTAATCAGAAGTTTTCACCTTCTTTTTGCCACTTCCCCATCCACCACTGAGTTGTACAGGATTGTCACGGAATGATATACGTTCTTTTTTAGAAGGTCTTGTATTTGTTATCATTGGTGCAAGTATCCCCTTAACTGAACAACCTAGACAGTGATATTAAACGTACACTTTCACTTAATATTTTAAATTAAGAAATATATCGAATTCAACAATATGCATTTCTAAATTCTCTAAACAAGTTTAACGAGAATATTCTTCTTGAGTTTATTTTTGTCTGAAAAGTAATAATGAATAAAGATTGGTATAAATTGTATTATGTTAAATAAAAGAAAATGCTAAATTGCTATAGAAGTTTACTTCCAGCTACAGATTCAGATGTCCTTGGTATCTCAAGATTATTAAATAATAAAACATCATAGTTTTTAGATACTTAGAATGATTTACATTTATAAGCAGTTTAAATTTTATAATTGTTTATATTTTTATAAATAAACTGTATGTTAAAGTTTGTCTTGGTCTTATAGAATTAAGGTCTTCTGAACAGATAGGAGGACTTCTGGGTAAAATGCATAGTATTTGAGCTAGAATCTCAAGATACACGTGGGCTTTCTTCTAGCTGCATAAAATAAAATGAAATACAGCTTTGTGACTCTGGACTGGTTACCGCTTTTCTAAGTCTTAGTTTTATAAATGAGAGAAATAAGACCACAAAGATGCATTGCAAGGTTACTATGAAGATCGTCTTGATTCTTTTGCAATGGTAGTAAGAGCTGTGAGAATGCTTTGTGCTGTCCAATGGCATGAATTATTATTTATATTCAACAAGTTAGAAATTATCCATAGAAAAATAACAAAAGCTGTTAGAGGTTAAAAACAAGTAATACGCTTAAGAATGGATAGTGGATTAGGAATGTTTTACTCGGCAAGACCTTAGGATGCCATATCAAGAATACTATTAAAGAATTATGATCATCTGCTTTAAATCTCCTGAGGATTAGGCGAGCGCACAGGGCTGTGTCTGTGGGGCAAGGGTTTGAAAAGCACCAGACCGAGGCCTTCCAGGTCTTCCCCAGCGCAGGCTGGAGGCAAAGGCCCAAGCCACAGTCTTCTCCATTCTGCTACTTTTGTGCTTAACTAAGTTTAAGGGGAAGAAAAAAACCTTTTTGTTTTGAGATTTAATACTTTTCACTAGAATTTTAAATATTTAAAATATATACGTGCAAAGAGAAGCGTTACAAACATGACACCATTTGTGGAAAATGGTCTGTTATTTCAAATTCGGTTCAACATGATAATTGATTGTAAAAGCCCATTCTATATTTAAAGACTTAAACGGGTATCGTAGTTTTGGTTTTTAATCTTAAGACTGTGATTAAGAAAACAAATTCAGAGGAGTTAAGATGCCTCCGGAAAGGGAGTGTATTTTACCTTTAGAAAGAGAACAGTACTAAAAAGCAGGGGGAAAGTTAAAAGCTATTGTTGTAAGAGACGGTGTGCAGGGTGCGAAAAGGCTGACACCTGTAGCTCCCACAGGTGTCCGCAGCAGAGTAAGACAGCCAAGCTCAGAGTTCTGAGACCTTTGCAGCTGCCTCTCCTGACGGCAATCTCGGTAGAGACTCACAGCTGAGAGATGCCAGCTGAGCTGACCTCCACGTGGGAGACCTGCCTGTCCTATGAGTCAGTCAGTAGTCATTTGAAAAACTCGAGAACTCTTTCACGCAAAACGAGTATTACTAAGCATAAGAGCGACAATTTCCTAGGTGATATACTAGTGGTCTAAAAAGCCTTAAGGATGTGCCTTAAAATTTATCTCTCTTCTACTTACCATTTATATATTGGAAATATCTAGTTTAATAGTTTCCCCCAGATAACAGAACGGAATGTCTGCTTTGTTCCATCTAAAAAAACGGTCATGATTAACCATTGCCTTTCCCCCAAGAGGAAAAATTCTTTGATGAATAAATTATTTCTTGAATAGCAAGTACATATTTATGAGAACAAATTAGATAAGCAGGGTGCTGGGGCCAAAATTTGGTGTAGGAGGCCAGGGTGTCAGAGATATGAAGAACCTTCGAAGACACCTTTATCATTCAGATATGTTTTAGGTACAAAATAGAGATTAACAGATGCGTACACAGATTTTCAAAATCTCTCACAAATATTTTGTTACACTAGAGAAAGCTAAATCAAGTGCCTTCCGAGCATTATTCAAAGTAATAAGTAGAAATGAGTATAAATTTTAATATTATATAATATTACAGATTATATCATTATGTTCATGAACAGTTTATTACTGGTTAATGCTATTTTTGATGAAGCTAGCTTAGTGTACTGATACATTTATTAAGGGCTTTCCTCTTAACATGTTTCTTACAAAAGAGGACAAGTGTTTTACAAAAAGTTTTCAAGTTATTTATACATAATTTTATAGACGTCCAAAATAATTATTTCAAAATGAAAGACATTGAATTGCATCAAAACATCGCTTTTGTTTAGACCAAACTGTCATTCTTAATAGGGTTTCCACATTATAAAGGACATTTTTATTGACTACAAATGTACTGTACGGTATAACTTTTCTCCTCCAAAACGGTTCTGCTGTCTTTGTTATTTTGAAGGTGCTAATGAATCTTTAAATCTTTTTTTTCTTATGCACAATGTTACTCTGCATTATAAAAAAAGTCTGTATTTTTTTTTACTGTTTAATGTAATTCTTTTAGCCAACAAGAATTTAAAAATCATTTTAAAAGCATGTGTGCAACATTACAAGACAGCTTTGTAACAATTTTAAAGTATATTTGTTCAGGGGCACCAAAACGCTGTGGGAAATTAGCCTTTAAAATAACAAACACTGAAGTGAATACAGAATGATTTTGTCAAAACAATATTTTAGGCGTGATTAAAAGCTTGAGTTTTGTAGCTCTGCTATTTACAAATAAACAATTAGAGCCGTGATCAATATAGCTTATTCTCTCAATGCATTGAGTGAGGGATTTTTTGTTATCATATAAATCCTCAAATCAGTAAATATATAGAAAATAAATTGAGGAGTAAAGCACATCCTTAAAGGAATTACATTCTGGCATTCATTGCAAAGTCATTATTTTGTCCTATAATTACTTGAGAAATGAAAAAGAAAATAAAGAGGCAATTTTTAAAACAGTCAATGTATAATCACTCCAAAATTACTTACCCACATGAAAATAAAATACCGAGAGACTCTTGCCTCAAAAATTGATATTAGAGCTAATCCTGCTGATGGACTCCTGGAATAAAAATTACGTTTTCTTCTTTCTGCACATTATTGTTATAGAATTTTTTTTTTAACATCAGTCAGCTACATAGTTTCAGTTGATCACAGAAATCAACCCATCAGTATATGTGCTGAAAGTGGCTTGATGAGGATTCTCTATTTTCCAACACATAATCTGTGTTGTGTTGAAGATACATTGTGGCTCTTAAAAGTTTTTATTTCCCTTGTTAAATGTGGGTTCTTTAACGAATGTCAAGGTCTCCGTATACTGTGTTTGGTATGTAATTTAATATGCAAAATGCTTACTATGGCTCTCCTGGTATAGTAAAGAAAAACCTGTAAGCTGGTCAGAATGGAAATCTCCTGATGTGTATAGTAATACGTCATTGGATTTTCATTGACATACCCAATACTACGTGTCTGGATATGGAAACGATTTCAAAGTACTTCCCATATTTTATTACTTAACAGCAGATACAGTGTAAGTCAAGCATGGAGGATAAAAATTCAACATCTTAATAAAAGTGACCAGAACAAATTTTTAGCAGGATAACATTTATATTAACTTAAGTGCTGTGAATGAGTTGCATTGGGAAGGTTTGAGATGGAATGTTACAAGGTTCAAATTTTAGTTGCTTTTTAAGATCATTGCTATGTCCAACCCTGGATTATAAGAATCATTTACAGTGAACTTCAGGTAGATCATTCAACAGTCTCATACCGAGGATAAAAACCAATGACAAACAAGTTATTTGCACCGTATTTGGATTTTCTCAGTATAATATGGTGGTGTTGCTTGTTTTTGCAGTTGTTTTCAAGCTTTTTTGGTGAATAGAAGCTTTTCTGCAAGTTAAAAAAAATTAATAAACTTTCTGTTTCTCAAAAATTGCAGTTCGATAATGACAGTCTTCTTATATGCAAGAGATGTTTATGTAAAAAGGTCAATTCGTTTAGTGGGCTTGACAGTCACAAAAATGTCCACGGTATTTACTACAGGTGTTGATAATCAAGGTGTCTTAAAAAAAAAAAATGTAACACAAATATTTTGTCTGCATATATTTATTTAAAAGAATAAAGTAAAATGCACTGATCATAAAAGGCAATACATATCCTCAAGGGTTGGGAGTCTTACTTTGATATAAAGATTTTTACTTAGTGTCTTGCCTATTTACCGCCCTTTTACAATAGCTACCCTGCATAATTGATGGGTGTCTCTCGGCTGCCTGATTATATGAGCTGTGTTCTCAGGTTTTATTTCAGCACTCTCCTGTGTTGATACCTGTGGCTGGGTTTGCACACAAGACAAGGATGGTTCCATGAGGCTCTACAAATGTGGTGCAAAATATACCCTCTTTCTCCTCTAAATTATGCAGTTCTTATTACTATTGTTTGATTTTTTTTTTTTTTTGCCTTGAAGGGTTTTTTGGAGTGCTTTGTTTTTGAGTGATAAAAGCTAAATAAGTTTGTGATATATCTCAGAACTAGATCGGCTTTCTCTCATGTGACCTTTAATTTAACGGAAACCCTCCTCTCCAATAACTGCTTCATAGAAGGCTGCTCATGGTGACCTTCTGGCTTTCCATGGAAACAGCTGACACCCACTAGGTGTGTAAACTTCTAAGTTGACCAGATAATCCAAAGTGTCACTCAATAAGCAGTTAAGAGTGAATTTTGACAATCTGTAAGTTCCCTCATTTTCCACTTCGCAACAATTATGTCTCAAAGGAACTCAGAAAGTCACGTCATTTAAGTCCCATTTCTCTTAATGATTTAGCAAAATTATTTTCCAACCATTTTTTACAAATATCCTCTTCACGAATTTATTCGATTTCCTTATATTCACAACTAAGAATCTACAAACGTTTGTAATTAAACAACATGGCATGAAAA